CCCCCACCCCCCTATGTGCTGGCTTCGAAGGAATCTGGAGAGATTCTCTACCATGGACGGTAAAACAACAACGAGAGGTAGGAAAAGAACAACAGATCTGCTCGATCAACTTAATCACGGTCAATCATGTTAAGAACGGTCATATGCTCTACTTCTTCACTTCCTGGAACTCAAGCTGAGCTCTAGATACCTTCTGGACATTTGAATCCCACGTGGAATCAATGGTAATCAATGTTCTATCAGCGCCTGGGAAGTTCTGATCAGTAACCGATATAGGCCCTGAATTTAAACTCTGTCCCATAATGCATCTTAACAAACATTACCATCTTATAATTCTTACACATTTGTTTAACAAAAACGCTCAGACAAATGTTCCTCTCCCCGCTGGTCTAAATGTACAACACTCTCATTACTTCTGGTTGCAACAATGCTCCTGTAGAAATGCTTCAAATCTCCTGTTTTGAAATAATTGCTTACTGTGTTTATTTATCAAAATTTTATATCAGATTTTTTTTGATATTGATCCTCTAGAACTATTTACATAGAAAAAATCTGAAATATTAATAAATTTAAAAGTTGAATAAGCCAATATAAATACACACACAATCTGTTTTGAGTACTGTGAGCATTATCATCCCCTGATTTTTTATTTTTTTTAGCTAAAGCACTTCTGGACCTTTTCCAGCTTTATGATACGTATTTTCAAATTGTGCAAGCAGAAATGTATACAACATTTCACAGCTATACCACACATTTATGGAACAGCAACAGAGCCCTGGTTTATCTTACCTTCAAGTCCTTTATCTTACATTCCTTGGCACCAAGTGGAGAAAAACCCTGAGGCTGCCCCCAAAGCTTAATAATATGTTTTTGCTGAAATAGGGTAAGAGGGTAGCTACAGAGAAGAACACTAGAGGAGTTCTTAAAGTTGAAGAAATTACAAGAGCTAGGAAGACAGATATTTCTTAATAAGATGTTTAAAAACTATAGCTGCATTTTAAAACCTTGTCTACCATGTACACTGAAGGCAAGAATTGGAATGTGGAGAGAAAGCCCTCCCATTGATTCTGAGATAACCGCCTTGATGGAGTAATCACTCAAAGATCATGCCAGACAACACTATTTGGTCATTCAGCCCATCACGAATGCAAAGTTGCTCTCCAGGGTTTTAGGCAAAAGGGTCTTTCACGGCATTTACTTCTACAGGATACCTTTATCTGAAGATGCCAAGCACCAAGACCTGCAACCTTCTGCATACCAAGCCTGTGTCTTTTTTGCAACTTTCCCCTGCTCTCACTGTGCTGTTCTATCTCACCAACAAAATTACATTCCTAGCGAAATGACCCAGTACCAAACTGCAGCCTATAATTCTAGTCAGATTAATGGAAGCTGGTTCATTATGGTAAATGGGGTGCTGCCCCGATCGATATTCATGCGACCCCTAACAGCCCATTCCTGCCTGTCTCCTTAATGTGAGAAACAAAAAAGAAAATGCACCTTTCATTTATAGATCTGCAAACCATTTACTAATGCTAATAATATAATTTGCACTCTACAGTACAATGCATCCCTAAATCTCAATAGTATTATTTGCAGATAAGCTAAAAAGGAGAGTGGCATGATATTCTCACAGTTTAAACAATGAGAGAATGGCAGAGTCAGAAAGACTAACTTTGTGTGCTTCTCAATTGCTAGGAATTGATTTAACTCAATTTATTGTCTTGATTGACAACCAATCACATACATAAACCCCTGGGCACATATACAGTATTCTCCTTTTCTCACTCACCCCTTCTCAACTGCAGCTGCAAAGTGTTTGGAAGCTTTTGCTTCCTATCCTGATAACTCACCGCTTGTAGTCTTACTCAGCCTTGAGGAATGGTGGCTAACCTTAGCAACTGTTGTTTGAAATACACCTTCTCCTTTTCTCACCCTTTTGCTTCCTATCCTGATAACTCACCGCTTGTAGTCTTACATCTATGTCTAGATGGGCGGCATATAAATGCAATAAATAAATAAAAATAAAATAAATTACTCAGCCTTGAGGAATGGTGGCCAACCTTAGCAACTGTTGTTTGAAATACACCAACTTCAAGCAACAGGTTATGAGGTTTGATTGTTGCAAAACAAACAAATAATACAGTTAAGCAAGATTTAGACATGGAAACCTATAGTTAACAAAAATATGAAGTAAAAACTTCTAATCTTTTTTTGCAGCTACAATGAAAAAGGAGATAGGTGTAGAGTGATAACTTCAAGCAACAGGTTATGAGGTTTGATTGTTGCAAAACAAACAAACAAACAACACAGTTAAGCAAGATTTAGACATAGTTAACAAAAATATGAAGTAAAAACTTCTAATCTTTTTTTGCAGCTACAATGAAAAAGGAGATAGGTGTAGAGTGATGATAAACCCAAAGAGGAGAGACTATCCTCATTCCTGTCCTGATGATAAAAGTCTTATTATTTGTCCAAACACATTTATTGTTTTCTTTCGAAAATAGGAGAAAGCAAAAACATATATACTAGAGCACAGAGTGCTGTCCTCTGAACAAAAACATGTATACTAGAGCACAGAGCGCTGTCCTCTGAAGATGCCGGCCACAGAGACTGGCAAAACGTTAGGAAGAACAACCTTCAGAACACGGCCAAAGAGCCCGAAAAACCCACAACAAGCAAAAACATGTATAATTAGTGAGATTAATATCAGTAGTTAAACACGTATAATTAGTGAGATTAATATCAGTAGTTTCACTGCCTATGGGAAAAAAAGTCCTAGGACAGGAGATGAACAGGAAGAAAATTAGAAAAATGTAGACAGAAAACTATAGGAGGTTCACTTAGAAATGAGGGTATTTGTAAAATAGGAAGAGTGCATAGCACATGGAAAGTCTGAAACTCACATGAATGATTGTCAGTTGTAACTCACTCTTCTTGGTTTCTACTATTCTGCTGTACTTTTATTTATCTGTTCTTTTTAATATTGCTTAATGATTGCTAGGAACAATTCTGGGAGCCTTGCTTTACCAAAGGATAGCATTTTAATGGCTTTAATAATAATTTGATAGAACTACTTTACCTGATTTGACTAGATTGAAAGATGTAAAAGAGTTTTTAGTGGCTAGAGCATCTGTGATAAGAGCAGCAGTCACACTTTTGAAGAGGAGCAACAAACACTGTTTTGCCCAGTGCTTACTCACCTTAAAATATTTAAGCATTTTGGAATTTCCCTTCTGAGGAGGTTTTCATAAGGATCATTTTGAAGACAACTAATTATTCCATAAGGGATGTGGTGGCACTGTGGGTTAAACCGCAGAAGCCTCTGGGCTGCAAGATCGGAGGACCAGCAGTCATAAGATTGAATTCACATGAGGGAGTGAGCTCCCATCGCTTGTCCCAGCTCCTGCCTACCTAGCAGTTTGAAAGCATGTAGAAAACTGCGAGTAGATAAATAAGTACCACCATGGTGGGAAGGTAACAGCGTTCTGTGTCTAGTCGCACTGGCCACGTGACCACGGAAACTGTCTTCAAACAAACGCTGGTTCTATGGCTTGGAGACGGAGATGAGCACCACCCCCTAGAGTCAGACATGACTGGACTAAATGACAAGGGGAACCTTTACCTAATTGTTCTGGGGGGGGAGTTGTTTCTATACAAAGGTGCCATGATGTCATCACTCAATGGCTAGTGAACCCTCTCAATGCAGAGAAGGCTATAGTCTCTATTGCTAGAATTAAGTTGGCTTTCTGAGACAGACCTGCTACATCTGGTGGAGTCACAAACTGATCACTTTACTAAGTATAGAATGTAGATACTGTGTATCAATGTTATGCTGTTTTAAATACTGAGTAGAATCTTATTAGGTTTGTGCAGAATCAACCTAAAATTACCAAAATGGTTATTGCACAACTATGCCTGTCATCCACTAAGACATAACCTTATTGTGCATGTTGTTGCATGCCCAGACGCACAACACAAAACTGCAAAACTGCTTGTGCAATTTCCCTTATTTGTGTAGTATTTCACAGTAACACAATGACCACTATGTATATTTTAAGTCTAAACCCAGTGCTAATCTCAAGAGCCACTTAATCAACAGAACTTAGATTCAATGGATTTGATATTAGTTGCATTAACAATTGGATTTAGGATACTTTGAAATTTTCAGGTCACAGATAGGCAAATTCTGTTCCTTGAGATGTTGTTGGACTGCAGTCTCCACGAATCCTAGCTGATGCAATCGATGGGAGGGATGGTAAAAGTTGGTAGCACAGCATCATTTGGACAGCCACAGCTGTCCACTCATGCTTTGGATGTTCGTCATCGTTTAGTCATTTAGTTGTGTCCGACTCTTCATGACCCCATGGACCAGAGCATGCCAGGCCCTCCTATCTTCCATTGCCTCCTGGAGTTGGGTCAAATTCATGTTGGTTGCTTCGATGACACTGTCCAACCATCTCGTCCTCTGTTGTCCCTTCTCCTCTTGCCTTCACACTTTGGATGTTAGCAGTTTGCAAATACATTTTAAATACAGTAATTGGAAGTGCATAAAGACACTTCTTTACTTTCAATAAACAACTTTTTTTCATCTCTCCACTTAGTTTGTGGCTCAGGTGATCTATTTCAAGCAGGCACATGGTTTATCACACTGTTGTTTACTGTGCTGTTGATGGGACTAGTAAAAAGGCTAACACACTATTTATTTGAAAATGTTTATTGGCTTGGGAGTCTTTTTTACTGCTTCACTGTTCTTAAAACACTTACAAGTTGTCCTTCATCAGCTTTGGTTACAATCTTACATAATTTAAATACCAGGAGCACAATTATTCAGCTATGCGCTTCGTGACATTCCTCACAAAAATCTTTATTATCTCACCAGCAACCTTTCCCTCCATCCTCCTTTTGAGAACAGGACAAATTAGGAAAGATAGACCACTATCCCAACTCCATCTGTTACTCCAAACAGATGGTAGGTCAGCTTACAAGGAGAACAAAAGGTTATGGGACAGCCACCACAGAGGTTTCTTGACAGATCACACCATACTCATAGCAATTCGGCACAAGAAATTCCCAGTCAAGGCCAGTGAAAGGAATGAGTAAACTTTTAGAAAATCACAATGAATAAGGTACAAGATATTGGATCAACAATACTGTATTTAACAATATAGAAAATATGAGCCTTCTGGGAACTAGACCAATGCCTTAGCTGCAACCCAATAATCTTCCAGCAGTGGATTAAAGGACATGAAAAACCCTATCGTATTCCAAGACCTTATGCCCTTGACTCTTATTTTATTCAGTATTTATACCACAGTATTTTAATCTCCACCATTGGCCAAAAGGCTCTCAGAGCAATTTACAAACCACTATCTAAAAACAAGGGAAGGTCTGTGTGCAGCCTTACAGTCTAAAAACACTGGACACAAAAGGCAGGAAGGATAGAACGGAAAGAGGGGAAAGCAGCAGTTTTTCAGACATCCAGTTTGAGTCCCGCTCCTCCCTTTTGCTGTGGGCGGGGCGGCGGCGGCAGAAGACTGATTTAGATACATGAAATATCCACACTACTTTTTATAACTTGTACATCATTTGTGATTCACAACATGAATCAGAATATTGTTACGGTCATACTATTGTGCAGTACAAATAGCCATGGCTTTTTAGGCTTTTGAACACACTTTGGGCAGATGGTGAAGAGGTTTATTCTGAAGAATCACTAAGCAGCCCAGAGGAGTTAAGCAAGGCCTCCTAAAAATGAACTACCAAAAAAAGAAAAGAATGTTAGGAAAAGCTGAAAGCAGCAGGAAAAGAAGACAAAATAAGAGATGAAGTGATGCTGTAAAAGGAAACTCTGGCCTTGGATTTGCAAGAGCTGAATCGGGCTGTTAACAACAGTACCCCATTTGAAGACTATTGACCAGAACACTATTGGACTCTATGTATGCACCTCTTAAAACATCCAGTGCCTCATTTGTCAGTAGCAATTTGCCATTCTAAATTATTTAATTTACCAAATGAATAAATCACCAACAGCATCGTGTCCAGTAATTCACAGTCTTGCTATAATTCAGAAGCAACTTGATGACATATTACAATAGGCTTTGCTCCCTTTTCTATTTATTTAAATTAATGTATTAAGTTAGGTAAATTCTATTTAATTTGATCTTATTTATTTATTTTCTTATTTACGTATTTGTGTTCTGTTTATTTGTAATTGTCTCTGAACTGTTATAGGCATTGTTATTTGATATCTTGTGAGCTGTAGTGGGATGCAAATGAAAGGATGATCATCAAGAAACCCCTGATGCCAAAATAACCTGGCTGGATTCTTACAGGGCACTTTGGATTGAAGAGGGGTGAGCACCATTTGGTGCTCTGACCTCAGCAGGATCATGTCTTAGAATGGCCCTAGTGGCATCTTAAGTCTCCTGCTTCTAGAGCTTGCCAATGAATTACTCCTCTCTATATTCCAGATTCACAGCTGCCTGCTTACTGTTCGCAAGCTGTTGCTGCTGTTTGCCTCCTCTTCATCTTTGGCTCCAAGATCTACTGTGTAACTTGCCCAAGCCTTCACTCTGCTGCCAAGATCCAACACCCCCTCTTTTGGATCTCCCTTGCCACTAATTCACTTCATTCAGTCTTTTATGCCTCCCTTCCCCATGGCATCCCCAATCAACAGAGGCCTAGTAGCAGGAAGGGAAAAAGAATGTTCTGTTTTTCAAAACAGAAGTGGAATAGATGGCAGAAAACATGCTGGGCTGGCATCCCATGCTGCCAAATTCAGCTCCATCTCTTGATTTTCTGAGCATCGGACCTCCAAATCAACTGGGATCACTATCCAGCTGACAACATATTATGTGGGTTGTAGCCAGTTGTGGTCAGTGCACAGGAATCTGCTGGCAAGATAGGCAGAGAGCAAGTTTTCAATGAGCCCTCCCCCCCTTTTTTTGTTCCCCCATCTACCCTTGAGGGTCTATGAAACCTCAATAACAAATCTGGAAAGGGGAGTTGCGTGTCACACTAAGAATTCACCCAAAATGTACCCTCCTCATTTCTTCTAGGATGCCTTCTTTAAGCAGATAAGTCTCAACTGGATAGAGCCCTTAGGCTGTAATCCTGTAATACACAATTAGGCAAGTCTGGAGCTTAGTTCCTAGTAGACAATGATAGGACTACACTGTTCTCATAACTGGAAAAAACTGTGAGGCTAACTAGCTAGTCTTGTGCTATTTTTTCCCATGTCACAAAACAGGGCCGGTTTAATAGAAATTTGCTCTGTTAATGACTGTAATTGGGTGGGTGAAACAACATACAGTATATTTTGTTCCCAAACTAGAATTCTAAAAAGTTTTCAGTGACACTTCAACACATTGGCAGAGCGGATTTTTCCTTTTAAAACCACTGTTAGCAAAATGAGCAGAAACTGTGGCTCTGCTGATTGCTGGAGAAAAGCAGGATTGGCACATGAATCTTCCCTTTAGGGATACCCTGTGCTGCTGCTTCTCTCTCCTCAAATGAAAACCCAAAGAAAGTGAAAGATGTTATTTGTTCTCAAAATACAGTATGACTGTGTGACTTGGATACTTCCAAGTCAGTGTGCCCCTTCGAGTTTTTACAAATGTTGCTTTACAAAAAAATCTCACTGTGATCTGAGACAATGAAGACAATAGGATTACCATGTTTTTCATGATTCTGGAGTGGAGAAACAGAAATTCCAGCTTAAACAATTTAACAATTGCTGTTGCACATTCATGGGAAATTGGCACCAATAAATTTTAATACACTGTGACACTAAGGAGACTGGGGGAGTAGAGAATAATGACTACTTAACAAATAACATGCCTCTTTCAGCTGCTTCCTTCTCCTCCCTACTTCCAATGGCTTTGAAGGTCTGAATGATCTGAAAAATTGCAAGTTTTCTGAACACAACATGTAGCAAGTGCTTCATGGTCATCAGTCAAACAAAGCCTCAAAGCCTGGTTCCAGCTGCATTTCATTGATTCCTTTTAGGGAACAGAGAAATGGACAGACACTTACACCCAAAACATGGGATGAGAAGCCCACAAAAAGCTTGCATACAGCCAATACTAGGGATAGAATCCCATATTCTCTTTATGAACAAAAGCCTACAAGCAGCCTTTGGCTGGAAAGGCCCCACAGATATGCTTCCAAGGATGGATAATACTTATTAATTCTGGGCACATTAACGTGTGTCACCAAACATGCTTCTGCTAGTGCAAGAGCAAGCCACCTATCCACCCAGGTAAAATGAATGTGTGAATCTATCTTCAGTTCTGCAAGTGCCCAGGTGCTTAGTCTTGGAACAGGTAATCATGGCAAGAGTAATTCTGGGAATGTCTGGGGTACAGTATTCTGCCTCCTCATGAACCACCATGCCCCCTCACCACAGAGCCAGAATCAGAGGGCACAATTAATCAGCCCCCAATGTCTCTCACATCTGTGAATTATTTTGTGCCATGCTCCATACCTTGCTTCCCCCGCCCCCACAGAGCTCATTTGGAGGCGATAAGATAAAGAGGAGGTCTCTGAGCACAAGCAAAGTGTGACTCTCCCAAAACAGGGTTGAGTCCTGTCACCTTTGGACCTCATTACTCCTGTACCTCAGCTCCCTGTGTGTGTCCCTCCACCTTCCCAAAACACACTTCTGGATAGGCGCCTCCGCCCTGGGTCGGACCACAGGCCCACCGCCCGGGTAGCTACCTCTCCGTCCCAGACTTTCTTCCCACCTTGGCCCGGCAGAAGCTGGGGTAGGCCCTGAAGTCAGAAAGGAGCTCCCGCTACCCCTCGCCCCCTCGCTTCTTCCTCCACTGGACACGTTGGTCCCCCCCCCC